GGAACCTGGAACGGCCACGTCACAAATGGCGCCGTGGTAGATCAGGATAGAACGTCACAGTTGACGCTGCGACCGGGGGACGACGTCACACAGCCATTGCCTTGATGCCGGACATTTACCCGACAGTGTTTGGCCGACGGACATTTGGTTTGACGGAAATTTAGCCGAGAAACATGCTGAACGGGAATTTGGCCAAAGGACATTTTACTGAAAAATTACAAGTAAAAATAGTAAGAAGCAATACTTTAAGTATTTTAACAATCTGTATTATAAGGTAGAATAGGACTGATACTTACCATTGAATTTCAAGTGATTAAATTACTAAATCTTAATTGAAAATTAAAAGTTTTATTTCAATATTCGTTTATTGAAATTAGTATTTAAAAAAAATATTTGAGTTTATTTGGGTAAAAAGTAGCACGTACTTATTAAAATTCGTATTTAACAGTAAGATAAAAGCTAATTCATACCTTTAAGGTAATGATCATTAAAAGCAAAACTGAAACATCTTTCATATTATAAAGGTTCAAGATTTTTACGGTAGTAAAATGCTCTTTTTCTCAAAATAGTTATCTTAGAGTAATATTTGAAGTAAAATATAATACATACAGAATAGATTTAAAAAAAAAAGCCTGCAAAAAAAAAAAAAAACAAACGAAAAATTATAAATTAATATTGTAAATAAATATAAATATATGAAGTACATTACGATAAAGAGTGTGCCATACATCTAAGTACGCCACTCAATTTTCGGCAAAATGTCTATTCGGTTAAATGTCCGACAGCCTAATGTCGGTCGGCAAATGTCCGTCGTCCAAATTTCCGTGGGTCAAATGTCCGACTGCCAAATGTCCGACGGCTAAATACCCGTCGCTAAAATGTCCGTCTGTCTATTGTCCGACATCCAAATTTCCGTCGGCCTAATGTCCGACGCCCAAATGTCCGACGGTCAAACGTCTGTCGGCGAAATGTCCGAGTATCTCTTGCCTGTTTCTTTTCGCGATGAACATAATTGAATGGATTGCTAACTGTGCAGGTCCCCACCTCGGAATGTGCCTTATCAGAGTTGTCGCCACTTAGAGAAGTTGTACCGACCACCTAAGTGTGTCTCTCTTCTTTACTACTTGAACTACAACCTAAAAAATATGGATTCCAAATAACATTATATTAAACGCACAGACAATATTGATAGAAGTTACAGTCATTAAGGCGAAACACCGGTTTCTGTATAATTACCGAAGTTAAGCAATGGCAAGCATGGTCATTACCAAGAGAGGGGTCGCTTGGGAATAACAGGTGTTCTAAGCTTGTATGTGCGGGTGGTGTAATGAATAATATACCGGAATTGTTAATCGGAGAACCAAGATATAATTCCATTTGGGTTCGTTTTATTCCTTTACACGTATTATTCTTGGCAAAGGCATGAATCCACCAATTCTCCCCTGAATTAGTAAGGCTTGTATCCCATAAATTAGTAAGGTTTATATCGCTACACAATTCTTATCTCCAAAAAATATTCTTACAATCTAAAAATATTTTCTGCCTTTAAATAACCTGCAAAGTGTTGATAAACCGTAAAAAAACGAATCAATTAATCAATATTGATAACAGTTAAAACGCACACAGTTTCTAAAAGAAATAATAAAGGTAAATATTTACGCTATTTACATTATTCGGGCTGTTGTCCTCATCTTCACTGTCACATTCACCACGTTTTGGCCGATGTACGCCCCGGCCTTCTTTAGGATATGCCTATATTTCTAATATATTGTATTATTACTATTTACACTATTTGCATTGTTCTGACTGTTGTACTCATCTATAGTGTCACATACACGACGTTTCGGCCGTTGTATGCTTCGGTCTTCTTCGGGAGATATATGTGGGAATTTCGAATCGGACACCTGATTTAATCCACGGGTGGGGTGGGGAGTAGATTGTTCTAATTCCACGTATCATGTCTTTGGATATTTCCGTTTTAGTTAATTCGCCTTAATACCTATCCAAGTTCTCTCCGCTGAGGCCAGGGATTGAACTAACAACTTTTGGGGTCAAGTCACTTTTTGGATCAATCAACCAAGCAACCGTTAATTTGTGCTTCTTATAAAATTAATGTAGCAGTAAATATTTTTTTTACCATAGCTCATATACCTTTTCTTTTTTTTAAATAATTTTAACCCCTCATTAGTTACTCTTATTATTTTATCACGCTATCTGTATTACTGGTTCCCATATTTTATTCATTTCTATGCTTGGCCGGCTTAGGAGAGTTTTATTGCCTAGAATATGCGCTGATTATTTGATTGAAGTTGATTTTGTTATGACGATGGATTCAATGCTGGCCATTTTATCTTGTTCCAGGACGCTGACGTTCTTCCTTCTGTCATCCCATCTGATGTTCAAGATACTTTGAGGATAACGTTGGTAATTTTTTTTCAAATAATGTCAGGTATCGTCGATAAGTTGTCCAGTTCTCAGAATTAGAATTCATTTAATAACACTTTCAATCTTGAATATTTTTTGGTTGTTGTATCGGACTGTCTAGGTCAATGTATGTAGGTGCATGTGCATGTACATGTCTTTATCGGTGTCTATGTATATAGTAACTTGCATGCACATTTCATTGTGTATGTATTTTCTTTTTGTAAATGTCGTGGAGATGTTTCCTGTCTCGTCACTTTTGTGTGTGTGTGTGTGTATATATCTAAATATGTCTAGGTGCTTATGTATTATAATCTGAGTGTGTATGTATTGTCTTTCGAAAGATGTCATCATCCCATCCCTACACTTGGAATTCAAATGTATCCATGTCGTCATGAAGTTAAGAGCAGTTGATCTTAACGTTTATTCCAACGTAATTTCAATAAAAAAAAAACAAAATAAATAGAATAACATATGTAATTTTTCTTTTTTCCTCAATAATTCTATAATTTTAAACTCAATAGAGATTAAATTTAGATTTTAAAATGGGTAATTTTTTATTTTAATTTCAAATTGTATCATATAATTTAATACTTATTAGAATAAATTTTATTTTAGTATAACCCCAACTTTAAAGAATTTATTAGCTATTATAACATAACTTCGTTGTCAACTTATTTGAATTCTTGTATACTTGTATTTTGATTGGTCATTCCAGCTTATGAAACAGGGTTTCCCATTGCGAGGGTGGTTAATTAATTTGAACCTTTTAAAACCCTTTATTCTACATTCAACACCATCACTTGATAAGATACCAGAGGTGTTGAAACAAAATGGCTATTTTTGTAGTGATTTTATAACATATTTATGTTATAATTTTTAAATAAATAATTATATTTGCTCTACTCTGTATTGAGCACACTTTTAAGAATAGTATTTGTTGGTTATTGGAGTTTATTCCGTATACACCAATCCTATACTTGGGTATATATATATATATATATATATATATATATATATATATATACATAACATATGTATATATATAATGTTAGTGGTAAATATACATACGTATGCGAAATATATAAATACCCACACATGTATATTTTAGAATAAAATCCCAAGAGGAAGAATCCAGGTAGAACTCAATGTCCAGGACAGAGTAAGGATATAATAAAAAGGCTTAAACACTAATATTCCATGGTCATAATTTATTCCATTGGAATCGTAAATACGATCCAATTCACCAGACCTACAAATTCAAAAAGAAAACAGAAAAAACAACTCCGGAAATAAAAACAGAATTTAGAGAGAGTGTAATTATGAAGGAGATTAAACCTTAACAGAGAGAATATTAGGAGAGGTGGGTTGAAGGGGTTTAAGTAAGAGAAAATAGAATGTTGTCAGATGTATAAAGATACATTCCGTGGTGACATAACAACACACCATGAACAATTTAATGTTAGAATAAGAGGGGAAAGACGAGGTGGGGGGAGAGAGATGGGGCGAAGGAAAGGGAAAATTGCGTTTACTTAAAGGGCCGCTTTGTAATTGAGAAAATTGGACAAATTTAATATCGACTACAGGTTATAAATCAAATATAAACATATAAAAAATAGATATAACGATTATCTAATCCAGCAAGGACCTATATTTTTATGTTCAAAAGCACATGCGAATACACATATACACAATATTCGCATGAACTATGAACCTAAAGAGCAAGGTAAACCTGCCAGTGCAATCTGACGATCCGCTTAGTTGAAACCTAGGTAGGTTTTGCTCGCTCTTTACGTTCATAGTTAGATTTGCTCTGCTTAGTGTATTGAGCACTTTACTTAGTTACTTTTGTTTTACTCGTTTTGGAGGCTTTTTTCTTCTTTGAACTCTGAGCTTGGATCATGGGCGATTGTTTTCGCCTCAATTACATTTTCTTTCTTCTTTTTAATCCCTTATTCTTCCTTGGGTATTGGTTTGTTTATTTGCAAGCCAAAACAACTAAGTTTTTCCAGACGTGTATAATATGGCCGCTCGTATTCGAGGATACACGTCTACTAGGGCGACTAGACAATTCATCTTGTTCAACACCCACAGAGTCAACGCGTGGTTTATACTGTAACTACACAGAGCAGACAGAAAGCGTGTTATCTAGAATGATCAATACTCTGAACACCAGCACACTCAAACCCTCGCTCACGATGACTTTTAACTTCGTGATAGCGCAGCTATCGACAGCCCCCAAGTGTTCCGTCTACACAATTTTACTCTCAAGGCTTGGGCCAACCTGTGGTATGGTTTTCAGGCATTTTCCAGAGGGGCCCCACGGTGGGATCATCCCCCTCTATGCCGATAGCATCAGAAAATCTCCTTCCTATCTAATAACATTAACGCTAACATAAGATCGTTCTCGTTGGACACTGCAAAAATAAATTCGTTCCGCAAGCAAACATACCTATGATATTAATGACAAGACTTTTAACGCTCCATGTTTACACATGTGGAGCCATATATATTTTCTGTTTTCTAGTTGATATATTATCTGAGATTGCTACTTTTATAATGCATTAATCTGGCAGAGC